TCCATTCCACTGATCCCTCTTTGTTTCCTTCTTCTAAATAGGGATAATTAAAGGAAATTGGGCCTCTCTCCACGTGGGTTTGGGACCATCACAAATCCCCAAAATGCTGGCTGGGAGAGGGACCCTGCCCTTTCCACACAGGATGGAGCAACAGGACACAGGGAATGGCTTCCAGCTGGGTTAGATGGGATACTGGGAAGGAATTCCTGCCTGGGAGGGTGTGAGGGGCTGGGATGGAATTCCCATAGAAGCTGTGGCTGCCCCATCCCTGGCAGCGTCCAGGCTGGAATAACCTGGGCTATGGAAGGCGTCCCTGCCCACGGGACTGGATGATCCTTAAAACCCCTTCCATCCCAAACCATCCTGGGATCTAATTGGGAATTAGGAGTTGCTGGCAAACCCCTTTAGGAGCCCTCAGTGGCCCAGGAGCCATGAGAGGAAGTGCCTCCGGCACAGGCTGCAGAGCTGCCCCTCTGGAGCTCAGGGCCAGGCTCACCCTGAGGGGCAGGAGGAGTAGTTGGCTCCAGGGCTCTCTCCCTGAACCCTGGGCATGCGGGGGGACACTGCAGGGATGATGGAAGGCTGCAGGATGTGCTGGGACCTCTCTTTTGGGCAGCCCCCTCTCGTGTCTTGCAGGGAGGGAGCTGTCCCACGGGAGATGCAGAAGCGTTTCCCACCCTCCCCTCCCAGGTGCCTTTTAATTCCTTCACTTTTAACCAGGTCCCTCCCGAGGGAATCTCTGGAAGCTTCTCCTGAGCATATAGACAGGTTGAAAGGGAGCAGCTGCTGCGGGAGCAGAGGGCAGAGATGAAGGAGCCTTCAAGGGCCCCTCACTCCAGGAGCTTTCCCTTCCAAATCCCACCCGGTGTCACGGAAGTGATTCCTGGCAGAGACTTTGAGGGCTGGGCATGGAAGGGGGCAAGTTTTCCAAAAGTGCCAAAGGATTCCATTTGAGCAATTTGAGTTGTGATGCCTCCAGAGTCCTGGGAAAAGGCCCAGGGAAGCTGGATCCAGGGAAAGGTGAGGAGTAGCTGTGCAGGGCAGGTGCTGGAGCTGGAGGAGCTTTGGCAGATGTGTTTGGATATAACTTTGGAACAGGTTGTTCCACCACTGGAAGTGGCCAGGATGGATGGGGCTGGCATAAAGTGGTCTAGTGGAAGGTGTCCCTGCCCATGGCAGGGGGTAGAATGGGATGATCCTTAAAATCCCTCCCAACCCAAACCATTGTGGGATCGGAGGATTCCATTTGGTGACCATTTTTATCCTGCAGGAGGGACAGATATCCACGAGGAAGGGAATGAAATCCATGGCAGGGGGCTACAATTAGAGGATTTCCAAGGTCCCTTCCAAGCCAAACTATCCCAGGATTCTAGTTCCAAGCCCTTGCCATGGGCATGGACACATCCCCTCTCCCTGACCTTTTCCCAGTGGTTTATCTTCCCTCCCCAAGGCTGGATTAGAGCAGGGAAATCCCAGCCTGTCCTTAGGGTTTCCCAGTTCCCTTGCTTTGCTGTAAAAATCCAGGTAATCAGTGACTTACGATTCCTATGGAATCGGGCTGGGGGGGATTTGTCCCTTTGGGTTGCTCTTCCTTGCCTGGGAAGTTCCAGATCTGCTCCTGCCAGTGGCCGGTGGCTCCCAACGTTTGCCGAGGGCAACCCACCCACTTTATATGCAAATGCCCTTTAATATCATTGGCAGACAGAGGCGGCCACGGAAATTAAACTGGAATTAAAATTCCCTTCCCCAAACCCCCCAAACCGAGCACAAAATGCTCTCCACTGGATGTCTTTTCCTGGTGGGATCTGATTTCCCTTGCATCCTGTCTGCAGTCAGACCAGGATCCTTTATTCCCTGCACGAGGACACCTTCCACTATCCCAGGTTGCTCCAAGCCCCATCCAACCCCGCCTTGGACATTCCAGGGATGGAGCTGCCACCCCATCGTGTCAGAGCCAGCAGGTCTCTCCGAAGCTCTGGAAAAGCTCTGGAATGATGCAGATGGAGCAGAAAGTATCTGGATAGGGCTGCCCAACAATGTGGGGGTTTGTGAGCTCACCCCACGGCAGGACAATGGAATCTTTGTTGGGAATATCCAGGCTGGGAACAGTTGAGTTTGTTTACCCTGCTGGTGTTTCACAGCAGTGTCTCCTTGGATATTTGTGCAGGCTTTGGGAATTTCAGGCACCAAAGAAAGGGCCCATCTGATCCCAGGAATGACTTTCTCCTCCTCCCCTCCCCTCCCTTCCTGTTGTTTGGGGTTTGTTTTCTCCAGTCCTGCTGATATTTGGAGCCAAAAGCTTCTGGAAGAGAAGGGCCCCTGGGGATGTGCAGTTTAAACTTCCCAATCCCTGAGCTGATCCAGTCTCCAGGTTCACTCTGGTTTTGACACAATTCCTACAAGGAGAATTGTGATTTTAAGGATCATCTTCTTCCAGGTGCCCCAGAGAAGCTGTGGCTGCCCCATCCTTGGAATTGTCCAAGGCCAGGCTGGAGCAGCCTGGGATAGTGGAAGGTGTCCCTGCCCATGGCAGGGGGTGGTACTGGATGATCCTTGAAATCCCTTCCAGCCAAACCATCCATGATTACATGACTCTTTAAATCCCATCTTTTTGATCATGTATTTCCTGAAAAAAATTCCCAAACCTGCCCATGATGATTCCCTTATTGGAATATCCCGTTGTCTAATGTGGTTAAATCAGGTTGATTTCCCAAATTCTGGCATTCTGGGTAAATAACATCAGCATCCCAGTTTATAACTCTGGGATAAATCCAAGCTCCAGTAAGTCCCTGGAGGATTTTTGCCATGACTTTGGAGCCACTGGAGTTTCCCATTCCCAATCACCCCCATGACAGAACTTGGAGGTCCACAATAAACTCCTGGAACTCAGTTTAGGAGCCTACAAACCTTCAGGATCACCCAGTTCCACCCCGTGCCATGGGCAAGGACACCTTCTTCCCGGCTGGCTGATCCTGGAGGTCTCTTCCAACCATGATGATGATTCCATGAGTTTGAAAAGCTCTGGAAATTTAGGATATTTCCCAAATCCAGCTTCTTCCACAGGTGGAGCTTATTCTAGGGCTCAAAGGACCGTGTCTTCACCTTCTTTTCCCTGGAGCTGAGATAAAGCCTTGGTGTTAGAACAAGAGCTCCGTGTTCCTCTCTGGCCGAGGAATCAGGGCTTGGATTTGGGGCTTTTCTCGGGAAGCACCGGAGCAGGAGCCAATCCCCGCAGATTGTCCTGATGAGAACTAAAGGGCCTTTTTCCAATCAGGGGAATAACCGGATTAGGCCCCTGTGTTGTGTCAGCCTGCCCGGATTCGATTAGGGCCGGGGAAATGGATTTGTCCGTCACAGTTACTTCATTAGGGCCCCTCAGTGATGGCTTGCAGGGAGTCGGGAGCACTCGGCACCTCTGGAGCACAAACACAGGGAGAACTGGGAGAGGCCAGCACGAGACTCCGGGCAAAACGCACGGCACACACCGCTCCTCATTTTCTGAAGGAGTGCTGGGAGGTTGGGAAGGAATTCTCAGCTGGGAGGGGGGGAGGCCCTGGAGTGGATTTCCCAGAAGATGCCCCATCCCTGGAAGTGTCCAAGGCCAGCTTGGAATAACCTGGTCTCTGGAAGGTGTCACTGCTCACGGGAGTGGACAGTCCTTAAAACTCCTCCCATCCCACCCCATTCCATGATTGTTTGCTTCCAAAATAACCCAAACTGCCCAGAGCCCTCCAGGTACTGATGGTGGAAGCTCTGCCCATCCCAATCCCTGGGATGGCATCCAGTGGTTTTTAGCTCCGCAGAGTGAATTGGCTGTTCCACAACACGAGTGATTTTTGAGGATCCTGCTAATTAACCCTCTGGAATGATTGAGTGGATCTGTCAGGGAAATGATCCACACTTTCTTTCCCTTTTTTTTTTTTCCTGGAGTTTAATTAAATATTTACCTTGGAGTGCCTTGTGCTGTGAACACCTTCATCTGTTCTGGAGATAATGGAATTCCTAATTGGGGGAAAGTGGGAAACTCTATCAATGTGTCAGGATTTGGGTCTTGGGAATCCCCCAGATTCGGTCCCAGTACCTGGATTTTGAGTGTTTCTCAAATTCCCACTGCTCCCAGAAGCTGGATGGACAGGTGGAAGGGAGCTGCTGGTGGGTTTTGGCAGCACTTGGAGAAAGTTTTTCCAGCCAGAAACACCCAAAATGTGGGTTTTGAATTCCATTAAAACTCCTGTTTGTGCGTGGAAAAGGCAAGGGATGCTGGCATTCCCCAGGGATGGTGTGGGGATGTGGGAGTGAGCTGGGAAACAGCACTGCAATGGGCCAAAACAGTGTTTGAGATCAATGTCAATCCCATTTCCTGAGGTTTGACATAAAAAGGAAGGAATTTGAGCACTTCCAGTGCTTCCATGTGTTTTCCCAGGGAGGTTGTGGATTCCTCATCCCTGGAAGTGTCCCAGGCCAGGTTGGAGCAATCTGGGATAGTGGAAGGTGTCTGGGTGGGAACCAGATGATCCTTTAAATGCCTTCCACCCCAACCCATTCTGTGAAAAGCAGAGCAGGAATACTGGGAATGTCCCGTTGTATCCATGGATCTGGCACATCCCACCTCCCCTTCCCTGGGTGACCCTCAAGTGTAAAACACACCCTGCCCTTTCCCCTCCAGCTTTTCCTCTTGGACAATCGCATTTCACCTGTCTGTTCATCCCTGTTTTCTGCCGGAGATTTGGGTCGGGTTGGAGCTGTGTCAGCGACGCCACTCCCGAGTGTCAGGAACTCAATCCAGCGCTGGAATTGCGCCGCTCCAGCCCCCGTTCCTGAGGGTCCGGCTGGTTCCCGCCGCGCATTTCAATGAGTTAATTGGAGCTCCGGGTCAGGAGCCGCTTCCCGGCCCCCGGTTCTTAATTAAAGGCACCGGGAGATTAATTTGAAGCGTTAATTTAAAAGTGCCGGCACAAAAGGCAGGAATTATTGCCACTAAAGAACTTCCTTGTCCCCAGATGTAGAAGACAGAACCAGCTCAGGGTCCTGGGGGAATGCAGGCCATCCGAGTCCATCCCGGGTAAGTACATCTAATCTCCCTCCCTCAGCCTGGGAACGTGCAATCCAGGGCAGACGGGCCCGGCCGCTCGGCTGCTCCTTCAAGGGCCTTTTAATATTCAACCTGCGCCTGGGCTCGGATCCGGCAGCTGCTCCAGGGGAACTGGATAATCCCGGGCCCTGGAAAGGTGTCCCTGCCCACCCGTGGGATGGTCTGTAAGGTCCCTTCCACCCCCAGCCATTCCATGATTTTTAGGGATATTAATTAGCCGTTTATTGCGGGGCTCCCTCAGCCCCTGCCCCACCCGAGCGCAGCCGGCACAGACTGTTTCCCAGGGTTTCACCCCCTGCACTGGGATTTTTAGGGATTGGGGGTGTCCCGAAGCCTGAGGGGAGGGCCAGCCCCCATTCCTGTGCCAGGGCTCACATTCCATGGCCATACCTGGCCATTCCATGGCCACTGACCACCCCTGGCCATCCCATGTCCCCCCTGGCCATTCCACGACCGCTGACCTTCCTGCCCCTGTTCCCAATGGAGCATCCCAGCTTTTCCCTTCCTCCAGGCTGAGCATGGCTGGTGCCTCAGCTCTGCGCTGCTCATTCCCTGTTTATCTCCCTTTATTCCCTCCAAACCCATAGAGAACACTCAGGGTGGGCAAGAAGTGGCTTCTCTCTTCCTCGTGCCCTGAGTTAAATTTGTTCTAATTCCTGTTTAATTGTTTTCCCATTAATTGGAAGGGTCAGGGCTCTGTCAGCTCTGTGCCCTGGAACGGGGAGGAGGAGCGGGATTGGGCCCTCCATCCCCTCTCCACCCCCTCTCCATCCCCTCCTCATCCCCAATCCAGGGCCTTTCCCTCAGGGCAGCCCAGGGGGATCCCCAATTTCCCTATCCCTCGGAGGGGAGGAATCCCAGTACCTTTTCTTCTCCATCCTGCTTTGCATCCCTGACGTCATTCCCGCCCGGCAAGTTGATTTTTCTCCCCTTTTTTCCCCCTTGACACTTGTATTGCTTCCCAGGGAAAAATGTTTTGAAAAGGAAGTTGGGAATTGGCACACACTGATTATTTCTGCCTCCAAACCCCTGAATGAAGTTGGGAGATAGAAAGAAAGGGAGCACGAGCCTGGGAGGAATTCGGGAATTTGAATCAGGGCTGGGCATTAACCACCAGAATTATTCCACAAACAATCTGACCTCGCTTTTCCCTGCTGGAATGGCATTCCCGCAGCGGGAGACTCAGCTTCTCCTGACTCTTTCTTCCATATTGTGAGCAGGAGGACCCTTCTGAGAGGGTTTATTGCCCAGCACAGAATTCCAGGAGCATCATCCCAGTCCTCCGTTCTCCCCATGGTAAAGTCGATTTGTGGTGAACCAAAACATTGAAACAGCATTAAAAACTCCCTGGAACATGACATTCCAGGGGAAAAAATCCAGGGAATGATGCTTCATAGAGCAGGTTTAACATTTAGCAGGGAATGACGGGCTTGGGGGTTGGGGAAACGCTGCTCCAATGCGTGTTCTATCCCGGTTTCCCGGCAGAACTATGGAGATGGGACTCACTACGATCACATGGCCAGCAGAGACCTCGGCTCCCACGACAATCTCTCTCCTCCCTTTGTCAATTCCAGGATACAAAGTAAGGACATGGAATTTTCTACTTTAATCAGGGGCTGAAATTGGGATATATGAAGCAGAAACAAAATCCAGAGGGTTTAAATCCCTCTTCATTCCTTAGAAGGGGGGGAACATGGGATATTCCTAATTTTTCCTGTTTTAAGGTATAAAAATGTGCTCTGGTGATGCTTATTATTTTTTATATATTATATATATATATATATATATATATATATATATAACTGTGTTTCCTTGCTGGGGCTTGGGATGCAAAATTTCCCCAGAGAGGTAAATGGTGTTTTCCTGAGGCTCAGCTTTTCCTTGCCTGGTTGGACACTCTGGGAACGGGATTTTTAAAGCAGAAAAGGCTTTTTGAAAATACAGTAAATAAATAGTAACCCAAGGGACCAAACAGCTGGTGAGGGACACTGGGAATGTTGTTTGGAGGGGGACAGATCGCTGCCTGCTGGGATCTGGACTCCAAATCCTTGTATCTGATTGAGGGGAGCCCAGGTGGGCAAGAGGCACCTGGATTGTATCAGTCACAGGGGGGAATCCTGGGATCAACTCCGGGCTCACCAGGTACAGGATAATGAGGGGCTGGAGCATGTGCAGGGAAGGGAAGGGAGTTTGGGAATGCTCTGGAGCAGCAGGAGTGGCTGAGGGAGCTGGAGGGGCTCAGCCTGGAGAAAAGGAGGCTCGGGGGGGACCTTCTGGCTCTGCAACTCCCTGATGGATCCAGCGGGGAATTGGGCCCTGCTCCCAGGGAACAAGGGACAGCAGGAGAGGGAAGTGCCTCAAGTTTCACCAGGGGAGAGTCTGGTCGGACACCAGGAAGAATTTCCTCCTGGAAAGGGTGGTCAGGCCTTGGAAGGGGCTGCCCAGGGGAGCAGGGATCCAGGTGGATCCCCATCCCTGAAGGTGGCACTCAGTGCTCTGGCCCAGGATCAGTCTCTGCTTGGACTCCATGGATCCTGGAAGGTTTTGCATCCTCATGACTCCTGGGATTTGGCTTTGGTCCCCCCTGCGTGGCTGAGGAGAGGCTGGGGTTGGTCAGGAGTGACTGCTGGCTCCCGCCAGTTAACGAGGGTGATTAAAGTGAAGAGGTGATGTCAGAGTGTCCCTCACCTCCTGCTCGGCCAAGATCCCGCCCCAGTTCCCTCAGGGAACTCACCCGGCTCCGCTTTACAGCCCTGAGCCCGCTCCAAGGAAAACACGGAGCTGGGGCTGCCATAGATCACTCCACAGCCCCCCCAGCCGTCCCTCGGCCCGCGGGATTGGGAAAGAGCTGGGAGTTGTTGAGCAGTGCTGGAGCTTGGAGTGGTTCGTGCGGATTCCCAGCCAAGGCACAGTTACGACAGTTTGGGAAAGGCTCGGGAGAAGCCAAGAAAAGCAGGGAAATTTCACCACTCCCTCCCGCACTCACGCCACGGGGCTGAGGGAGAGCACAGGGAGCCAGGGAGAGCCGCTGCTGCCGCTTCCCACCTGAACATTTACCTGCAAACCGGCAAGCCCAGAAGCATCTCGCCCTCTCCTACCTGGCCTGGGCTTCCCGAAAAATCTCAGTCCTGCTTTTCCCAGTTTTAAGGAAAACACTCTTTTCTCTTGGTTTAAGAAATATTTGGTTTATAAAAACACAGTTGGGGGCACCTGGGGAAGGAATGCAGAAGGATTCAGGATTCCGGAGTTCCTGATAAGGGATTTTGAGAGCATCCTCATGTTTCTAGGAGGTCCTGCTTAATTGCCTTGGAGGGGTTTTCCCGGCTGTGAGAGTGGGATGGGCGCAGGTGTCCCTCCTGCTCCAGCATTCCCAGGGAATGGGTTGGGAGAGCTTTGTGTGGGAGTGGGAACCCATAAGCAGCAGCAGGACAGACGCTGCAGTTATGGATATCCAGGATGGGGTCTGGGAGTGTTCTGTGCTCCGGTTGTGTCGGCATTTGGGATTTTGGGAGGAATTTATGCGCAGGGCTCTTCACTCAGACCAGACTGTGGCTCCGACTCCACTTATTCCAAATGGATTCCCTCATTTCCCTTCCCCTGGCAGCGCTCTGGACTCTCCCAAGGAAAGCTTCCTATCAATTTGGGTGTCAGGATCCGGCTGTGGGTTCCTTTCCATCCTTTCTCCCCTTTCCCTTGGCAACTGATCCGGAGCCTGACAATCTTCCCCCTTAAACTGGTTCATACTGGCGTGTTCTGTCGGCTTGACTGGAGTGGCTCCTGCTGTGGGATGGGGGCTGTGGAATCATGGGATTCAGGTTGGAAAAGCCCTCTGGGACCACGGAGTCCACCACTAACCCCTGTCCCTGCGTGTGGCACATCCAGCGTCGCTTCTCATCGCCCCTCCCCTTCCCAGGCATCCTCGTTGGGAATGCTGCTTGCCCTGCTCCTTGAAATACCCTGTTAAAGGGACAGGAAATCATTTCCCATCGCTTTTCGGCCCTGTGTGACTTCCTGGAGCATTTCTCTGCAGGGAAGTGGTTCAACACTCCTGGGGGGATTTGAGATTGTCCTGTGCAGGGCCGGGAGCTGGACTCAGTGATTCCCTTCCAAGTGAGGGGATTCCAGGATCCTGTGATTCCAGGGAGGTTCCAGGTGCTGCTAGTTTAGGTGGTGACCTCTGGGTGATAATTTGTCATGGTTCTTGTGGTCATCATGTGACAGCTGCAGGTTCCTTGGAATTCCATCCCTCTCCTGGGTTTGCCTACCAGGAATATTTAGGTTTGTGCTTCCAAGTGCTCTGAACATCCCTAGGAGAACTGGAATTTTGTGCAGATTAGGGAAGTTTCGCCAACACAGCATTAAAAGGCCCCACTTCCAGTTGCTAAACTGTCAGCATCTGGGCAGGAATTTTCCATGCTGGGGCTCTGACTCAGCCGGCTCTGTGGTTTTTTACCCTTCTGCAGGACTGATTTCAACATTCCCTCAAGTGGGATTCCATTTCACCCCGGCACTTTTGGGATTTGCTTGGTTGGGAACATTAATTCCCTTTCACACCACCTCTGTTATGTCAGGTGGCTCCTGCTCTGCAGCTGGAGCAGGGAAGGGGCACCAGGAACCGGGAGGGAAGCAGCAAAACCCGTCCAGGAATTCCAAGGTTGGAAGGGGCTTGCAGCACCCTGGGATGGTGGGAGGTGTCAGGGTTGGAATGAGGTGGGATTTAAGGTCCTTCCAACCCAAACCAATCTGGGATTCTGGGAACCTAAAAAGGTCAGGAAAGGCCTTTGGAAACCCCAAAACTGGGAATTCCAGGCTCTAGTGTTCCTTTGAAGTGTTTTCCACTCACGGAGCTGATCCAGCCCAGCACCAGTTTTAGGAGAATCATGGCATCATGGAATGATTTGGGTTGGAAGGGACCTTAAAGCCCAATTTATCCCACCCCCTGCCATGGGCAGGGACACCTCCCACTACCCCAGTTTGCTCTAAGCCCTGTCCAACCCAGCCTTGGACGCTCCAGGGACCCTCCATCCTTGGAGACCTTCCAAAGTTGTGATTTAATGCTGAGTGGAACCTGGAAAGGTGCTTTAAAATGCATTGTGGGAGCCACAAAGCTGGAAAGAGAAACACACTCCCACTCCAAAGCAGGAGTTAATAGATTTGTCAGTGCTGCCAGTCAGGATTCCGGGCCTGGCATCCAACTCCAGCCGCTCGACAGTCCCGGAGAAAGGAGATGACAAGGACATCTCCATTTCCTTGGGAAGAGCAGAGATGTGTACATAGAAACTGGCTGCTCTGGCAGCTGAAACGTGAGGTTGGCCTGCAGAGTTTGCCGGGAAGTTTACATTCCTTGGAATCTGGGCCTCAAACAAGCCGAGTTGTTTTGTGGGACAGGCTGGAGTTGTCCTCTCTGAAGGCAGCAGGAATGGCCTCCTGCCCAGAATCCCGGTCTCCTGTCCATTATCGCAGACTCCCGTCCATAATCCCGGTCTCCTGCCCATAATTCCAGCCCCCTGCCCAGCTCTCCTGTTGTGATGCCAGGCTTGGAGCTGGATTTATCCCCTGGAGAGGGAAACAGCTTCTCCAGTGACATCCAGAGGTGCTTTAGTGGTTAAGGAGCTCCTGCTCTTCCCAGGGATTATTGGAGCTTGGCTTTCCAAGCTTTTGTTGCTGGTGTTGGTGGCAGAGGGAATTTTGAGCTCCCACCTGTCTGGGCATTAAGAGAAATCTGGAAGTGACTTCCTTAAATATTCATGAAGAGGGAAGAACTCAATCTGGGAAGTGGGACGTGTCCCTGCCCGTGATGGGAGGGGTGGGAACAAGGTGAGATTTAAGGTCCCTTCCAACCCAACCCATTCCAGGATTCTATGTATGAAAAAAAATAATTCAAATAATAATAATTCAAATAACAATAATTAAAATAATAATAATGTAAAAACAATCATGTAAAATAGTAATTTGAAAAATAATAATTAAAAATAATAATTTAAAAAGGAATAAACCACCCAATAATTTAAAAATTAAGAAAAAAAAAACAACAAAGAAACCCAAAAAAAACCTCAGCACCAAAAGACCCCAGGGATTTCTGACTGAATTCCAGTTTCCTGGAGTTTCCTGGATGAAGTTTCTGTGGCTGGAGTGTTTCTTCCTGAGCCTCACCCAGGGATCCCGGGGCTGTTCGGGGGGACACGCCGAGCTGGGATTTGCATTACAGCTGGAAAATGGACATGTGGGAAAATCTGGGAAACAAAACCAATTTGGTGAATTAGTGGGTCATTTCCATAGGCGGTCACGGTCCGTTGGGCAGGGAAAAACAATGGGTTTGTTATGCTCCTGGTTAAAGCCCAGAGTGGCCAACAAAGCCCAGTTTAATTAATAAGCGCTCGGAGCCCGGCCCCGCAGTCTGAACTTCCCAGCCTGGAGAGGTGGAGAATTCAAGGAGGAGCTGCAGACAGAAAAGCAACTTGTTTTGGGGAGCTTTGGTGGATTCTGCTGGAAAATGATGGATCTGAGGGGTGGGGGGGCTGAGCTGTGCTGCCGGTTTAGGTTTAGGACAAGCTTTGCACTGTGGTGCTTAAAACTAAGGGC